CTTTTTAGAATACTATTTGCATTTAAATTCCATACTCACATGAAATTATTTTGAATTTCCACAGGAAAAGTTCATTATGATTTGGTTGAGATTATGGAATCAATAGCAATTGAAAGGAGGTTGTTGGGTAGTTCTAAAACTTCACTGCTTGTAATTATTAATGTCTCACCTGTAATAACATCTTCAACCATTTCACATTAGGTTGTCACTCTCACAAGTATACCCGTGCTAATCTTATTTTATTTTATTCCATTTTTTTTTTAACTATTGTAATATCAAAAGATGTGTTACAATAATTATTAGCAACAAATCTAATTTTACCTTTAGGACATCATAATTGTGAATCAGTAACTATTATCACTCAATAAATATATAGTTAAATAGCATCCCACGCCTAATTGTTCATTTCGTAAATTAAGAGATTGGAAATTTAACTATATTAAAAGAAAAAAGGTTAAAATCAATCAACCAAATTTAATGGTGGACATATAAGTCAATCAAACTTAATTAGTTCCTGTTGCCACCTTGTCTGGGTCCATGCCAACTTTTTGTCCACGTTGTATTATTTTTTATTTTTAATTTTTGTTTATTGACAAATATGAGAACACTGATTCGTTTCCCAAAACCTTACTTTTGATATTCACAAGAGCCGAATATATATAGATACAAAGAAAGCCCTAAAACCAATATCCACCAAATCTCTAATATACCAAAATCTATCTATACCAAAAATACAATATTCACAAATCACTCTAACACCCCCCCTCAAGTTGGAGCATGCGGATTCCGGATGCCCAACTTGCCAAGAAAAAAATCAAACTCGCGTTTTCCCAAGGCCTTGGTGAAGATGTCCGCCAATTGAGAATGAGTGGAAACATGAGCGGTAGAAATGAGACCTTGAACAAGAGCATCACGAAGAAAATGGCAATCGACTTCAATATGCTTCGTGCGCTCATGAAATACAGGATTAGCAGCAATGTGTAGAGCTGCTTGGCTGTCACATTGAATCCGCATCGGCTGAGAATGAGCGACGCCAAGGCTGTGAAGTAAACCCTTCAACCATTTCAACTCACAAGTAAGGGTCGCCATAGCTCGATACTCGGCCTCGGTAGAAGACCGGGCTACAGTGTGTTGTTTCTTGGTGCGCCAAGAAAGGGGTGGATGACCAAGCTGGACAAACGAGCTCGAAATAGAACGGCGTGTAGTGGGACAAGTCGCCCAATCAGAGTCACACCACCTGTAAATTTGCAAGTCACAATCTGAACGAAGAAGAATACCCTGACCTGGAGTACCCTTCAAATAACGAACTACCCTGACGAGGTTGCTGCATGAACTGAGACAAAGTATGAACCGCATAAGACAAGTCAGGACGAGTGACTGTCAAATAGATCAATCGCCCAACGAGACGCCGATAACGCTCGAGGTCAGAAAAGAGAGGACCGTCTGCTAAGGGAAGCTGGTGATTCTGTTCCATGGGAAAATCTGCCGGTTTATCGCCAAGTAGACCGGTCTCGGTCACAATGTCAAGAGTGTACTTCCGCTGGCATAAAAAAATGCCCGAAGAGTTCCTAGCAACCTCAATACCCAGAAAATATTTCAACAAACCCAAATCCTTCATATGGAAACAGCGACCCAAATAATCTTTAAAGGCAGTAATGGCGATTGGATCGCTTCCAGAAATGATCAGATCATCAACGTAAATAAGAACATGTAAACTCAATGAGTCACGATGATAAACAAACAGTGAGTAATCAGAATATGACTGCTGAAAACCATAGTGCCGTAGAGCAGAAGCAAGCTTCGCAAACCAACACCGAGGAGCTTGCTTTAAACCATACAAAGAACGGCGTAACCGACACACCTTACCAGAATCAGGCGAATGAAAACCGGGAAGAAGCTTCATGTAGACCTCCTCAGACAGATCCCCATGTAAGAATGCATTATGCACGTCCATCTGATGAACCTCCCAATGTCGGGCAGCTACAACGGCAAGAAAAGTCCTTACAGTAACCATCTTGGTGACAGGTGCAAATGTCTCCTGATAGTCAATGCCCTCCACCTGCCGGTTATCCAAGACAACCAAACGTGCTTTATAGCGCTCAACAGAACCATCAGAGTTATATTTAATCTTATAAATCCACTTGCAACCAATAGCGTGTTTTCCAGTAGGAAGAGAAACAATATCCCACGTACGGTTCGATTCCAATGCTCGAATCTCCAGTTGCATAGCCGAACGCCAGCGACTATCTCGAACAGCCTCAGAAAAGGTCTGAGGCTCAACATCAGAAGAATGGCTGCTAGAAATGACTGATGTGTAGGTGAAAATGAATCACAAGAAACATAGTGCGCGAGAGGGTAAGGAGTACCAGACGGCGACGCGATGGATGAGACAGAGTGGGGGGACGAGGAACAAATAGTGTGAGAGACAAAGTCAGCAAGACGGGAAGTGGGCCTCTTGAGACGATGACCACGACCCAGCGCTTCCTCGTCGGGAGGATCACCCCCCTATCGACAATGACCTCAGAACCCCCAGTGGCAGCAGTACGTGTTGTAGTGGGAAGCACCACATCATCATCGTTGTCAGGAATAGCAGACCATGGAACCACAGGTACGGAGGCAGTATCAAGAGCAGCATACGTAAAATAAGGGAACTCTGATTCACAGAATTTCACATCACGTGAGACCAGAAAAGTGCGGTTGTCCAAATCATAAACACACCACCCTTTTTGACTAGAGGGATAGCCAACAAAAACACATTGACGACTCCGACTTGCAAACTTGTCACCTTTCCTGTTTGATTGCGTAACACAGACAACCAAAAACACGTAAGTGGGCATAGTTGGGAGGTTCTCCATACAAAAGTTCATAGGGAGTCTTGCTGAATAAAAGAGGAGTAGACATTCGATTAATCAAATAGCCAGCAGCAAGTACACAATGTCCCCAGAACTCAATCGGTAAATGGGCTTGAAAGCGTAATGCTCGAGCAACATTAAGAATGTGCTGATGTTTGTACTCAGCACGTCCATTTTGTTGCAGAGTTCCGACACAAGAAGTTTCATGAACAATCCCCTATTGACGGAAATAATCACGCATACAAGTAAATTCAGTCCCATTGTCACTGCGAACAATTTTAACCAACACACCAAATTGCCTTTTGACAAAAGCAAAAAATTGCAGTAAAGTGGAAGACACCAAAAAATTTTCATCCAATAAGAAAATCCAAGTACCGCGAGAATAGTCGTCAACAATAGTTAAAACATATCGAGCACCACTAAAGGCAGGAACTCTATACGGTCCCCACACATCACAATGAATCAGACTGAAGATGGAACTGTTGACACTTCGACTAAGAGGAAAGCTAGCACGAGATTGCTTCGCTCGACAGCAAACATCACAAGTTTTATTCGAGACCAAGGAGCGAGACTCAACATAAGGCAATTGACTAAGGATAATAGAAGAAGGATGACCCATTCGCTGGTGCCACAAGGGCTGCATAGCCGAGGACACCCGAGAAGCATTGGCAGCAATGACCCCTCGAAAAAAATATAGTCCCCCCAACTGCTCACCCACTCCAATCACCGTCCTCGAAGTGAGGTCCTGAATAGCACAATATGTACTAGTGAAGGTAGCAACACAACTAGATTGTTCCAACAAACGAGACAATGATATCAAGCTGCACTGAAGACTGTCAACGACAAATACATCATATAAAATAATACGAGAACCGAGATGAATAGTGCCAGCTTTACACGCAGTTGTGAGCGTGCCATTAGGTAACTGCACAGACCGGGGAAGAATATCCCGAATATCAGAAAAAAAAATCCAAGTAGCCCGTCATATGATGTGAGGCGCCACTATCATACATCCACTCATAAGGACTATGCTTACCAGACAAAGGAGTATTGTTGCGGCCGGATGAGACGAGGTGTACAATAGACTCCCATTGGGCATCAGTCAACCCAGAAATAGCCGCCCGATCGGAGTCCGTCAATGAGGATGTTGGCCTGCCATGTATAGAGCCAAATGTACTAAGTGCAGCCCCATTCGCGAAGGCGGCGTTGGCAAAGGCTGGACTACCACAACCGACACCAAAGCAAGATGTCGCAAGATGACCCGACTTCCCGCAATAATAGCACTGACTAGCCGAGGAAGAAGGAGAAGAAGCCATGAGGTCTCAATTGGTCGAGACTTGATAGAAACAAATTTTGGATNTTGTTTGCTCACGGCAAAAACCCCAAAACCCAAAGATTTTTTTTTCAACACTTATGCCACTCACAAATTCAAAGGAGACTTGAGATCCGAAAGAGAGAAAAAAAAAATGAGAGGGAGCAACAGAGAAAAGAAAGGAGTCTCAGTTGATTGAGACTTAAGATCCGAGAGAAAAAAAAATTAACCAATCTCTGATACCATGACAAATATGAGAACACTAATTCGTTTCCCAAAACCTTGCTTTTGATATTCACAAGAGCCGAATATATATAGATACAAAGGAAGTCCTAAAACCAATATCCACCAAATCTCTAAGATACCAAAATCTATCTATACCCAAAAATACAATATTCACAAAATCAATCTAACATTTATCTAATTACTATTCTCGTTTCTTGATTTAGTCACTCAACTAGATGACTGTTAACAATGCACATTAATTAACTAGTCTTGCAAATATATAGGCATAATCTCAAGGTAAAAAGTACTCTAGTAATTAATCAATCTTATGTAGTATATTGCTTGTTAAAAATCATATGTACATCAATTTGCCTCATATATAATTCACACACACATGACGCATCACCACATATATCATATATGAACACGATCAGATTCAATGTCACAACATTGAGGCATAGATTGTGAGAGAGAAACCAAGAGAGATTAACAAAAATCAAAATTCTTATATATATATATATATGTGTATCAACAGTTTAATTGGCACTTGCTTAATTAGATCAGTAATAAATTGACCATACATTGCAGGCCCTACTAGCAACATGTTGATTGAACAATGGTAGAAAAATTAAATTACATAAATAAAAAAGAGAAAAAAAAAGAAAAAAAAAAAGCCATGGCTAGCTAGATTGAGGCGGCTTAAATAGTATATGGCTTCAATTTTAGCTAGCACTTGGATCCTTTGCGGCAATTTAGGGCGCCGGCACTAGACGTTAATGAGCCTACTAAAGCTGATGGCTTGGCTCCTAAGCTCGATGCCTTTGCATAACTTGAAGACGAGCCCGCTGCCCCAGAAGCCGTAAAATATGCGCCGTTTAGCATTAGGTCCCCTTCCGATCTCCAGTTCCAATTTTTCCATTCACTCTCAGCTGCATCCTCGTGTTTGGTCACCTGTGTGAACGGATTTTTATTTTTTTTCAATTCAAATTTTGAATATATATAAATGCGCGCAGTAGTTTGAGAAAAATTCAATTTTGTTGACTAAAAAATTAATTGGTAGTACTACAGTAGTACTGTTTATTAACTAGTGTGGACATTTACTGTTGGTTTGGTGGAAAAGTGTGGAAAAAAAAAAGTACGAGTAGGAGATGCATCATATGACATGTCATAAAATCTGTCGGTTAGGAATTGGCAATAACAGCATCTACCAACCGTATATGACACTGACAGTTATATAGGTTTTTNTGTAATATGTTTCAAATTAATAATTTATTACTACTACTTAGTTGATTGATTATTAATTACTATGATTTGTGAATGAATTAATTAAATAAATTTTCACCTCCTTGCTGTTGTCATCAGCTGGAGCAAGAAATCGATTGCCTTGGCTATTAATTGTGGGGTCCGCACTCCCACCAATGGCATACATCTCCCAATGTGTGTAGTCATTGTTCACCACATGGAAATACCCATGCCTACACCTATAAAGAATATATAATGAAATATTTTTTGGATCAAACATGCACATACATTAATTAATAAATGGATTAATTAAGAAATTAATTAATTAATTACCTGGGCATCCTTTGCACAAGGCCCTCTCCAAAATGATTAAAAGCAATAGTAACCTGCATGCCTTTGTCCTGAGTGTAGGAATCACTATGCCCCAAAAGCATGACTTTATCATGGTGCGTCATATAGTTATTGGAAATGGTAATGGCCGTTGATCCATGAATGGCGTCGATCAAACCATCAGCACAGTTGGACAAGGAGCAGTGGTCCACCCACACGTGGCTACTTCCAAAGATGGAGACGCCATCACCATCCGATATGGTCCTCCACCCGTAGTGCCCTGGGGAGTCCCGCACCATAGCATTCCCCCCGGGCTTGCAGTCGTGGATGTGTACACCGTGGATGATAATGTTGGTGACAAATTGGACGGTGATGCAGGGCCCGTTGGCGATGTGGACGCTGGCTCCTCTGCCGTCGATGGTCTTGAAGGAGTTGACGATGAGCTCTTCCTTGAGTTTGATGGTCATGTCGCGGGCGAATATGATCCAGAGCGGCTCGTCTTGGATGACAGCGTGGCGGAGGGTGCCCTGTTTGGGGGTGACGGGGTCGTCGTTTTCGGAGTCGGTGACGACGTAGATGCGGCCGTCGCGGCCGCCGATGGCGTTTTTGCCGAAGCCGATGGCGCAGTCGGCGAGTTTCTGGCGGTTGTGTTCCCAGTTAGAGTCGCAGCGCCAGCAATCGTCAATGGGGTTGCCGGTGTTGCACGAAAGGAATCCCAGGTTGCGTCTCGATTCGTTCAGCCAGGAGCTGCGCGCATGCACCAATTCGTCCAAATGAGGAGGAGGATTTTGTTGTTTTTGTTGTTCTAGTGTACGAGAGGAGGCAATGAGGGGCGGGAAGAGGATTGTGAGGCAAAAGATCAGGAAAATACCCATTGCCCAAGTGGAGGAGATAAATGAAAAGAAAAATTAATATTGTGAGTTGTAAAGTAGTGACAAGTGATCAAGGATTAATTGTAAGGGGGAATGGAATGGAATGGGATGGGATTATAAAGAGGATAAACAAGGACAAGATCGCGTGAATTAACTGAAAAGCTAGGGCCCTGTCCATGGCGTGGGACTCGCTGATTACCGGGTTTTGTGGAGACCCCTGTTTCTCTCTCCCCTCATCCAAAATAAATAAATAATCAGCACTACTGTATATAATTTGAGGGATAAAATAGTAATTTTACATATATATATTTATTTGTTTTTTCGTTTGAAATACATGCAAGAATATCATTTTCGTATAGTAAAATGAGATTACAATTGGACGACTATTTAACTATTCACGTACTAGCTAGTATACATATTGTACTTTTGAAAATTGAACCTAGTCATGTATTTATACGAAACAAATAAGAGTTTTTCATTTATGGAAGGGTAATAATATTATGGATAAATGACAATGCACAATCTTCTTGTTATTAGATGGAGAAAATGGGGTTGGGGACAATGCGGGTCCGGGCCAAATCGTATATTTTGTTACATTCTTTTTCGTAATTTGGGTAGAAAATATTAAATCATATAACAAAATTAGATTGGAATACATGTGAATCCTAGATTTTGTGGATGGGATAAAAGGACAATAAACATCACATGCGCAAGAAAAAAGTGATCATGTGAGGCATATTCTAACTGTATTTGCATCGAGCTTAGCATTTGGGTCTACACAACCAACCTACACATACATAGTATATAATAGCTTTTTAGAAATTCTTGACCCAATTAGTATAAAGGCTTTTAAACCTATACATTATAGAAGAATGTAGGGTTTGATTTTGAATGGTGGAGTACTTTTTTGGGGCTTGTGAGCACATGGAGCAACTAACTTCAAAAGGGCAACATCAACTTTTGATGATGATATTGCTCTCATGCTTTGTTCTATTCCATTCCCCTCCACAAGACGAGAAGATGAGATGAGGATAATGAGACAACAGCTTTAACTAAAATAACAAGAAAATCAACTAAAATTAGTACTTGATTCAATTTCATTTTAGACCTAATGAGGGAAAATTAATATACGGGGTTTTATACACGTAAATTCGTAAAATAACAATACATGTTACAAGAATTGTGAGTGTCCAAAGTTAAAACCAAGGTTTAAACAATTAATGATGGCTTTGTATTATTTAAATTTTTAACACATCCTTTCCTTTTCTAGCTGCTTTATAAGTACCTTTGATGTTACAGTAGAGGATTAAATCAAACCTAACTAACGCAGCTAGCCCTGGCTTAACTAACCATGGCTTAAAATAAATTTTTCAATAATGTGGGAGCATTTATGGTGCTCTAAAATACATTAATAAGGAAATTAAATATACGTGTGTAGTTTTATTGGAACAATAATAGTTTGTGGCATTCATATATGTGCGTAGTTATTGATTGCTAGAAAGAAGTTATGACATCCACAAGAACTCAACGACATTTTTCCCTTATTGCGAAGGGACGTATCACTTTTAATCTATATATATATAATAAGAATTAAAATTTATCAAAATTAGTAGGTCAATTTATGATCAAAGTCTGGTTTGCATTAATTATTTTCCAAAAACGACAGGTTTTATGTTCTTTTCACACGCCTCATTAGTTATACCGAATTAATTATCATAAAATCATTCCATATAAGCTATTTTGTTACACGCCATTGCATTAATTTTGGCCTAATAAATAGCGAGCATTAACTGCAACAGATAATATGTAATAAATCCTTCTTTCACGCCATTGCATTAATTTTTTTACAATTTGGACTCAACTTTTCCCTATTTTTTGTGGAGGGATTTATTCCATTGTATGTGATTGATGCAAATCCTTTTTTATGGAATCCAAATCCGTACAAGACACTAATATCCGTACAATACACGTAGTATCTGTTGTAAATCTGCCGAAAATAATTTAATATATATTGGTATAAATCTGCCAAAAACTAATTAAAAAATAATTTAATACATAATGTATCTATACTTATATAAAGAGATCATCCCATTTACTAGAATTAGTAGGAAGAAAAGTCAAAGGTAATTAATGCATTCTATTTCTATCAATTAATTTTTATTTAATTATTTTTTCCCATAAAATCGGTACAAAAAAAATGTACGTAAAACAAAAAAATAAAGGCAAATTTGATCAGATGATAAAATCATGATTTTACCAAAAATTAATCAGAGCAAACCTAAATTGAAGGGTTTGGTTGTCTATATAGATATTGATTTACGTAAATCAATACATTTAATATTTATAGTTTGTGTAGATTTAAAATTCCTTCTTATCTTTGTACAAAAAATCTTATCTAATTGTATGGAAAATATGATTTGATTTGTTCCTCTACATATAATGTGATTTCCGTTTATCAAGATTTTTTCTCAAAAATCTTAACAGATATTGATTCTACTCCACCAATTATAAATTATAAATCTCAAAATATGGACATCGTCTTCCTCACTTTCAACCTCCTGCAAAAAAAATATCTCCAATCAGTCTTTCATTCAAAATAATGAATCAAGGATTTTGCTTAATCAAACAAGTTAATATATAGATCTAATAGACCTATGCTTAAAGTTTTAATTGTAAGAATGTTTCTACAAGACTGAGGCAGCACGTACAAATCCTATCTCGAGTTGGTTCTACACGATAAAATTGTAAGCCAAATCATTTTTACTTCTTTTTTTTTTTTATTTCGAAATATGAAACGTATATTTTTTATTTTTTTTATTCTTTTTTAAATCTAGAATTTGTCTTATTTCTTCTAGCGATCGTGTATATATTTAGATATTTACATTATTTATGATTTTTAAACAAATTAATTATTTATGATTATTTTTTGTATATGTTTAGTTTGTGAGAATGACGAGTTGTCCAATAATCAAACTCATAATGTTGTGTACAAGGAGGTCTTTAATAATATATGATTGTTTCTTGTCAAATACTATCTTATTGTACAATTTTCCTATGTATCATACATCTTTTATTTAATATTGCATCTTATAATATAATATTCCCCAAATAAATAATAATATTGCATTTTATAATATAATATTCCCCAAATAAATATATCTCGTGCCTCGCACGGGTCACGTACTATATATATCTCATACATTTTTCTTTATTCATATATATAATTATAAGCCTGGATAAATAGCGTTAAAATTGTGCACCGCGTGCATCGCACGGGCTTGCACTAGATAATAAAGGAAACACGTAAGAATATATATCCAGTTCTTTTATCTTGAAAAATATATACATTTTAATTTATTTCGAATACCTTACTAATTAACGACAATTGTTTTACCGAAATTTAAACTAAGTATCTTGCCATAATAATTTAATTCCACCTATTTATCACAATATAATTTCTTTAATATAACTTGTGTTTATTACAATTCAAATAGACACCAACAGTGGAAATATATTAGACAGTAGCACATGCTTTGGCTCCAAAAATCAAACTTCATGGACCAAACTCCTCTCTACCTCTCAATTTCATGCATATTGCTATAATTATTATTATTATTATTTTCAAAACCCACTAGCCAATTGCTTATTGAAAATTTATGGTATGGAGTCTTTTTCAATTATTTTTCTCCCACAATAAAGATCGTACAGAAAAAGGATAGGGTATGTGCCACAACTATAAAAAAGGTAGACTATAAATATGTAATTAAGTTGATATATATATATATATATATATATATATATATATATATATTATAACAATAACTACAAATAATTCTCTAAAGTATTTATACATACGTATGTTCTTCAATATATTGTATGCGTTTATAATTCCGACTAATTGCAAGAATTTGTTGGCTCAATCATAATAATATATCATATTTAAGGAAAAAATAGTATTATTTGTGTTGAAAGTATTTGATATATATGAAGCAGTTTAGTTTAGTGATAATATTAGCGACAAAAGCAACGTGAAGGTCTATGTCATGGAGGTTGGGCTATGGTGCGTATCAAATAAAAGGGCAGACAATAGCCATGTTATAGTGTTAATTAGTAAGGATTTCATCCTTTTATGGAGAGGTCTTAAGGATAGAGACTTGAAAAATTGCAATTCAAACAGTGAGCCAACTTTTATTTTTTTAATAACAATAATAACAATAATTATTATTATTAATAGTATATTAATAGGTAGCACATGAATATACAGAGACGCATATACCCGTTTGTGTGCGTGATTATGAAGGTTGGGTTGGTCAATACTCAATAGCATTGCCCCGCCTGCACTGCACATGGTGGGCCAATCATTCAATATTAGTTTGGCTTTTTCAAAGTCCATCGTTTCCAAAAGAGAAGGAAAACCAAAACGTCTTGGTTGGTTTTTCTGCCTAGATTAGTGCCTTAATTTTAGCCTGCATTGGTGCCATTTGTACTCATCATTTGATTTCTTGGTCACGTGCCTATTCAATTGACATTTATATATTGGTTCCAATACCTCCAACTCGTTAAGGGGGCGGTTGTATATGGATTGTACAGTAAAAAAACTAATCAAAACTCAAATTTAACTCAACTTTAACTCTACTCCACTATCTCCAATATTATTAATATAATTAAATAATATCAACCAATCATTCTTACACATCACATCAACTTTAATTCACTATTCATCCACTCATATAATTTTAACTAACCATCACTTCCAATCATTTTCTCTTACTTTTATATCAAATCAACTTTAATTATTTTATTTTAAATATTATTTTAATATATCCACTAACAATTAACCATACCACCTTTTTTCAAACTTAACTATAGTTAAGAAAAAACTAGTTTTTTTACTAGTTCAATTCATATACAATCACCCTAAAACTTTTAGGACAATGGAGACAAACTACAGTCAACTGTTAGCATTGACGGTCAACGGTCAACTCCATAGATAAACTGTCAAATTAATATTTAAATAATTAAAAAATAAAAATATTAAATCTTGACCAGACATCTTATTCTCTATTTAATAGATATAGTTAGGATTGAGTCTCGCAGAATAGAAACACGTTTGATTCAATCTCTATATAGTATATAAATATGTGTATAATTTTTATTTTTCATGTATTTTATGGAGAAAAAAGAAAAGAAATAAGAATTTTGAGTATAACATCAACATAAATTCCACAACTTAAAAAAATAACATACTATTGAAGGTTAAATGATTCTAAACATTTTTTTTAATTGAAATAACTTTGCATAATAATTGATAACATGTATTTTATATGTTTATATATATAGTTATACATATATACATACAACATATATACACTATATTACTACACAAATCTACAGGGGCCTGTGTCCCTACGAGTCCTTGTGTAGATCTGCCACTGACTAAACTTGAGTTGGCTAATATTGATAAGTGATCCAATCTCGAGCTTGTTTAGTTAGTTACTAGTGAGAATCCCGTGCGATGTACGGAGTTTCGTATCTTAGAATATTATTTTAAAACTTTATTTAACAATATATTAGCCCGTTGACTTTTTTATATTAATATAAATAATATTTTAACATATATATTTATTTTATAATACAGAAAAAATAATAATTTTACATATTTTGGTTCATCATAATACTCAAAGATTATTTTATTTAAAAATCTATTGTCGTGTAATGTCAAAATTATTAATAACACTTATAGAAGTAATATTCTTTTTTTATATAATTATAAATATTTAATGTATATTAATATTATTTATTGATTTAATTAATTTACAAATATATAAGTAAATTTAATATTTGTTAGGAATGTGATTATATGTAAGTTAAGATAAAATGGAATATATCAAAAAAAAATTGCTTATGATATTTTCCTTTAAATGTTTCTTAATAAATTTGAAATTAAAATTACAATTCAACCGCCATTTTTTCAAAAAAATTCAAAAAAGTTACCAATTGTAGTAAATTCTAAATTCTTAGGTGGGATTTTACTTTCTAGCTAAAGTAAATCCTATTGCTATTTTATAGTAATAGTTTACTGACTCAAGCTTCGTTCGATTATTTTACATTAGAAATATTACATAAATATTAGTTATTGTTTTAATATTTTACCAACAATTAATTTATTATTATAAGGTAAAAGTCAATTATCTACTGTTGACTCATGTGATTATATATTTTTCTATTATTTAATGAAATTATCTAATCAATAAGATATTAATGCTTATAAATGTCATTCATTTTTATTTATTGATCCTATTTTTTATTTTTATTTTTCATATGAAAATACCAGGAATAGTCTAAAAGTTAATTGTATATTATTGACTCCAGGGATTATATTATTTAACCAATCCTTATAAATATGTAATCAATTTTTATTTTTTATTCCTTTTTTTTTTTTAATATCAAAATACCATGTAGGTCATTTACTTGATTTCTTAATTGAGAGTGCATGCTCGGCCGATCAAGTGTTGTTTAATAGGTCGCTTAAATTTGAAGGAAAAAGCTACTTCTGATGACATAGTGTATGTTTGGATGACCAAAAATAATGTATTTTTTTTTATTTTTTTTATATTAAACTGATCTGATATGTAAAATAATATAACCGTAACACATGTTATTATGTCAAACTTTATGCTATTTAACATAATCCAAATTTGTATCATTAGGTTGATTAAATTTGTGATTTTATACGGTTCAACCCAAATTTTAATAGTCGACCTAGACTTGTACACCAATATACAAGTCCACGAGAGTATAACATAATATATCATAACTTCATTTTCAAGTTTATCTTTTATTTTTCCTTTTAAACAGTTCAGTTCATTTACTTATATGTTTCAAAGCATAGGAGGATATAACGAATCTTGTATGTTGCGTGAAATTTGAGGATATATATTTGGTTCACAACCTAAGAAAACTAGTGCTATTTTGTGGTGACTTACTGCCATTTTCCAGTCACATTCACCTTCCTTAGTGTTTTTTTTGTTTTTTTTTGGCACATCATTCTCCTTAGTGTTTATAAGCTAATTATGTATTTTATTTAAAAAAAATGTTATTTTTCAACAAATCAGTGCTATTTTGAATCAACCAGATAAAGATATTTCTGTATTTTACTATGAAAAAAATGTTTTTTCCTATACTTCCAAGAAAAGGATATAACATATCCTTGAGGAATGCAAATTCCATCAAATTAAGAGATTTATGTACAAGCACAAAGAAAAACTCCCTCAAGGAGAAAGAACAGGCATCTCTCCCAGTTCTAAATACGCAGCGGCAAATTCTTCATCGTTTATACCCAACATATTTTTCAATGTAAGTTCCACATTCTTACCTTTCAGAACCCAATACCTGGGCCTTATCTTCTTCTCCAGTGAGTAGCTGAAATATCTCGGGTAAGCAACCACATCACTCAGAGGCCTTTGCATGTTGTTCACTAGGAACTCCAACTTTGGCTTCAAATTTTCTTCTACGCTATACCCGAGTACCGGTGAGAATCTGTGTAACATGGACACTATCGCTTTCTGAAAATCCGACTTCCATCAGGTACCTTACTCTGTCCAAAACACAAAAAATATACAAAAGGTTTTTAGTCATCTTCAGCGATAAACTAGACTAATTTTATTAACTATCCTCTTTACAGAAAATAAGTGACATTTAAAATTACACCATGTGCTGTACCTAGGATATAATGCCCTGTCGACGTCACAAACAAATAGTTCTGGGTATTTCCTGATAACTCTCGGGAGATGGGTTTCAGAAATTCCGACAGTAGAAAGAAACTCCAACTTCTTCTTGAGAGTTTCGTCTATGCTTGCGGCAAAAATTTCAGGACAACGAGCAAGCGTCTTAGAAATAGCTTTCTCATCTAATCCTAAATCGTTAAAGAAGGATACCACCTGAATGCCTAAAACGAATGAATTTGATTCACTCGATGCATACACATTGTTGTATGCATACTGAAAGACTATTCATTTATACCATATATGGTTAGAGACAATCAACATTATTTCATAACTGACTACCAAAGTTGATCATTATTGCAGTTTTCTCAGTACTAGTCACTTTTTAAGCAGCTTTGCTAACAGTAAGTCGATAAGAGTGGCTGGATGAAGACATAAATTAACATGAAAACAGTCACACCAAATAATATTCTTTTTTCCCCTTATTAAGTCACCAAACGTATTTCACCAAGAAAGAAAGCAACCTGATCAAACTCCTCAGGCTTGCGAAGTAGTAATTGTGGACTTTTAGCGATAACCTGACCCAACTTCTTCTTTCTAATATCCATTCGTCTGAGCTGTTCCACCATTAGCTCAATTTTGTCTACAGAACATCCTAGAATATGTGGCCAGTTCTTGATTGCACTGGCAGTTGAAATTTTGGGGACCTGCCATAGTATATTAGCATGCTTGTTAACAAATCATCTCAGTGGGTTATTAACCTCCGATATACATTTCCTGATGTAACTTTACTACCATATGATACAGAGTAGTATTTCTGACATTATTAAGCATTTGTTTCTGATCAGTACCTTCTCATGATCAAAGAAATCAACAATTTCCTCAAAATTCTCCAGGATGCTTGGAGAAACAATCCAAGGATACTTGACAAGCATCTTACTGATATCATTTTCTCTTATGCCAATCTGCAAGTAACATATTAAGAATGATTAGAAGAGACATTTTTAAACTTTACCTTAAAAGCTTTCACTTTGACATGCATATCACCAGAACGGAGTGATTTTATCTACATATATGTTCTGAATAAAGGTTTATCAGGTTCTAGAATGTTATTACTAACTTCAAAGAACCCATTATGGTAAAATAAAAGGAAGATCCTTCCTTCTGTTATGGATGCAACTATGAGGAAGATCTCAGTACTCAGGATAGCCAGTCAAAAGCGTTACAGATGCTAATTATCAGATTAAGCATACAAAAGAATTAAAAGCTCAACTGTGTTGTTAAACAAATAAATAGAAGCTCCATAAAACCTCATTTTTGCATTGGAATTTTTCTCGACAACTATGCAGCACATGTTTCACATCCTTGTATAACTAATAAATTGAAGTTTCCAGCATCACTGTAATCACACAAGCCTTCAGTAGTTTATCATCCATGGCCATACATCCTGATCGTACTTTTACAAGTAAATGGCATTGCAGTTGAATTTGTTTTGAAAATCCTAGACCACATCAGACAGAGTAGATAAGCACTATGTTTAGAATGTACCTTTTCGAATGATTGCAACCTTGGCTTTATTCTCTTGTGAATGTCATACAACAAGATGGGTGGAAATAAAAGAAGAACATTTCTGACTCGTTCATTAGGAACCCCAATATCTTCCAAGACCTTCACAGTTACCTTTAGACGAGATTCTAGTGGAAGAGAAAGAAGACGTGGAAAAGATTCAATGAGGTACCGGAAAGAGGTGTTATCAGAACCCAAGAGATTCAGACCTCCACGCCTTGCTTCAACCTATTACGCGAAAAAGAAAAAAGGGGGGTTCATGCAAAACAAAAGCATGCAGGACATCATCTGACAAGGAATGAATCAGAAACATCAAATTTTCAGCAAGCATTCTGACCTTTTCAAAGAATGCCAAAGTCTGTTGCACGTCCTCATCGACAGAAATTGAGAGGTGTGTCATCATACGCCGAGCATTTTTCCCAATAAATTCAGAATCAAGACTACCAGAAAACAAAATTTCCTTCACATACTTAACCTGCGAAGGGAAAAGGAAAATCAGAAAATTCAGAAATTTGCAACCACATGTACATGAACAAAAAAATGTCAAAAATTCAGAAAAGAACAAAAAGTGAACAAAAAAATGTCGAAAATGAGCCAGTCAGATTGTCAAACACCTTGGGAACAAGGAGAGGTAACACATTGGAGCCAGAAGAAGAGAGATAACGAGCCAAGCGAGTGGCGGAGGAGAGAGGAAGTCCTTCGCTCTCCAGGAAAGGGAGAATACCTTTGTCCCCTTTCTGCTTTGCCATCTGATACACTCTGTTTTTAAACTGTACAGGCCCTTGATCACCGGGCCCTGCGGCGGCGGACCACGAGTTCCAGTCGTCAAGGTCTTGGACGCCGTCGATCAGCATCTTCAAATAGTTGGGGCAGCCAAAGCTAATGCGAGACGCGTCCTCCCTCGAAACTCCAAGCTGTTCCAGATACTCTCTGATGGCTTCTCTCACTTCTTCTAAGCAATTGCCGTCGTCTGTTTGTTGCTGAGCCTCAGAATCGAAGCTCGGGAAGGTCGAGGCAGTGTAGCTACAATTACTGCATTTTTTGGCTGATAAATCGTGAAAATCGGAACGGAGACGGAGATGGGGGTTTTGGTAGGGCTTTGGGGTGGTTTTGCGAATATGAACAGTTGGGGTCTGAGAGAAGGGCAACAGTACGGAGCAGGGATGACGTATGGGTGGAGATGATGATAATGGTGACAGAGCAGGCTCGGAGCCGCCATGTAAGCCGGCAGAGCAACTGTGCTCAAGTCTCAGGTCGACTTATTACACAACAGTACGTTGAGACTCGTATTAGAATTTGCGCTGATGAAATCAACCTTATTACTGTCAAAAATGAAAAAAAAAAAAAAAACTATTCTAAGAATGGGAAACAATATTAAATAGTAACTAAATGGAGGAAGTGAGAATTATTATTGATTCTCCTTAAATAATATTAAATAATAATTATAAATTAATGATGTGGGTTCAAATAATGTAAAATTATCTTGTATAAGAGAATATAAAATTGTATGTTTAAAATATTAGAAACACCTTATTATATTAATATATGTAAAAATATCCAAAATTTTCTATATTATCTTTGGAAAGTGTGAAGTCACCTATAACTTTTCTAAACTATTTCGGAAAAAAAACATATCTAAAAACATTTAAAATTAAAAAAATCTATCTATTTACAAATCCAAAGAATCAACCAATTTTTTTTTAATATCAAATATGAAACGGAATTTAAAAATTGAGAGTTTTTAAAGTATAAGACATTTGAATTTTCTGAATTTCATACCGATTCGAATTTTAATTGGAGGTTTGAAAAAATGGTATTCAAAATCGGGAGAATCCCAAAATTTTAGGATGCAATGTTGATTGATTACCTTTGTATGGAATAAAGAGTTGCCTAATATTATTGGTCCGATTTTTTAAATTTTAATGTCTTTATATACATACATATATATATATATATATAGGATGTGGTTCAAATGAGAACCAAGTCCTAGCGTGAGAACCGTGAAAACCGCTATTTTTAATTGTATGTAGTGCTATGATTGATTGTATTTAGTGCTATTTTTAATCAGGATGTATTTTATTAAAAATAGCAACTTAGCATTTGTAAAAATGATAGCACCATGTAAGATTAAAAATAGCATCATACACAATTAAAAATAGCATCAAATATGGTTCTCACGGTTCTCACACCAGAAGAGGTTTTTATTTGAACCACTCCCTATATATATATATATATGTAAAAAAAGGCGAATGGGGACAAGTGATCATTTTTTTAGAGTAAAAAAAGCATATAAATAGCTAAAAATAATGTGAAGCTAACACATGAAATAACAACTAAAAAATAATTATAAGCAAAAAATACATCAACATGCGAGTAATGAAATTTGTAAAGAGGGTGTACTATGATATTGACATGGGATTGATACAAAAAATGTTAATAAGCAAAGGTTCTATTTTCCAAATATTGATACATATTTAGGGAAATGAAATTATTTTGGTGCAATTGAATTTTCTTTCCTTTATATCAAACTAACTAATTATTCATTTAAAAAGAAAAAAAATAATAATAAAACTGTTCTGAAGTGTAGGCAGTATGAAATTGATGCTACCTGTTATTTGTAAAAAAAAGTCATAAAAAAAATGTAAACCAATTAATTTAAAGTGCTACTACCTGCAAAATTGACTTTGATGACATATATTATCCTTTCTAAAAATTCAGGATTTCTCAGTTCTCAACCCTCAACCTTTCAACCTTCAACCACAAGTCTAAGAAAAAAATCAACTGAAGAATACAGCATGTGGGTCTTCCCATACATAGGCCCCAACTCCACTTTGAAGTTACTATTGTTTTTTCTTCTTTTTCAAATTCAAATTTGATTAAACCATATTGGGCCTCTGAGGGAGGAGGAGATTGTAGAACTTATTGTGCAAGAAGAAATGTTTTCCTTTGGCATCGACCGCCTTTTTCCAAGCGCACCACCCACCATTGACAATCTTCTTGAGGTCTTCGTTGCCCGTGTAATGGGGGTCCAATATCAGAAATGCGCAGTCTCCACTCTCGTCATTGTAGTCAACTCCCAAAAGGGTATATGCAAGAACACCACCACCTGTTAAAG